AGCCAAATCTCAATAAGCAAAACAAAGAGTAATAACTTGGTAATAAATAACTCACTCTGTTCGTAGCTTAAAATGAAGTTTGGAGAAAGTTTGTGAGGATAAAACGAAATTTAGAAAAATTAGAAAAAAAAACAAGAAAAAAAAGAGTACAGAGCTACATCGGAAATACGAGAAGAGAAGAAAAAATAGAAGAAAACATATAAATGATAAGATGAAATGATTCAAAGAAAAAAGGTTTATTCTATGTATACGGATTTGAAGGTTGGTATGAACCTGTCTACTCCCTCTACTGTATATAAATGGTGTATGAGTATGGTTTGGTATTGAACCTAGATTAAACAAACAATGCAGGACGGAAATATGCATAAATTATAAATACAGGGTTTCCAAAAACTTTTCAAATACTTTAGTTCAGGCGGAAGTGAAAATAGTGTGTAAAAAATAAATCGATGAAATGAGGTTTAGGTCAATTTTCTATCTTATGATGTGTCTTCAGTTGATTTGTTATTACCTAGTTTTTTTATTTTTCTTTCAGGGTCAAAATTTGGTATAATGTAAAAAAACCAAATGTTGTCAACATTCGTATAAAGTTAATATTTCATAATATTTTTAATTTTGTTTTATTAAAAAATATTTCGCTGGCGCTGGATTTTCGAACATTCCTGGAAAATATGAAAATGTCGTCTTCATTATCAAAAACAGGAAAAAATGTTTTCAAAAGTAGTCAGAATATTATGAAATATCAACTTTATACGATTGCGTTGAAAAATTATCGATGATTGGTTGAAATATCTGAATGATTTCTTTGAAATAAAATTGATTATTTTACGATCCGAGTTGAATATTGCAACTTTGTGAATTTGTATGGACGCTACGTTCTTCAGCATTAGTCGTATTCAACAATTTTCATCTTATAGACGCAACAGATAGAAGTTAGATTAGTAGCGATCAAAAGCGTTTATTGTTTATTGTTTTAGCTTTATCCTAAAAAATGGAAAAACGATCCAAATATGATTGTTACAACAAGTTCGTTTTTGCATCGGTTTTGGATCGTTTTTTGTAAGCCTATACCCCTTTAATTTTTCGCGAACACTCCCTTAACTTTAGCATAGTACAGTCTAGAAATCCTGCATGGAATTTTTATCAAATTTGTTTTTAAAACGATCGAAAACGATTAACAACACTACACTACAACACTTCTACGATAACACTAGACCGGTAAACTTATGTACCGTCTCGGATCTTGCAACTTTAGGACCCATGTGTGAGATAAATTAGGCCACTATATATGCATACTTAATTTTCTGGGATACCAATACCATATTTGTATAATCACCCCGGACTAACCAGAGTGAGCAGCATTCGGTTTCTTCTATGTTAAATCAAACTTGTTTTGGTCTTTAATTCGTTTATTTTATACATTTTCATTCAAGATGCATATGCCAACAAAAAAGTACTTAAGAAAAAAGACTAAAAGATTGGGTTTAATGGGTCAAATTGTGATCGAAAGTCACAGCTTTCTGGAATATTGACAGAACCGTTAAATCCACGTGTAATATTATAAAACAAGGCTTAAAGGCGCTTCGCACCCAACTCTTTTTATAACTTTAGCTTTTAGTCATAAAACTAATTTTTTTGGGAACTGCCGGACTTCCAACGTTTTCTATAAACCTCGGTGTTTTTGGAGTCAATTTTTAAAATTTATTTCTGCCGGCCATAATATAAACCTTTCCTTGGTTCATATAAGGTCCCAACAAAATGTACGCTTACAAAATTAACAGACAGATAATAACAAAATTTATAGAGATATGCTGGGACACCATTTATAGAGATATGCTGGGACACCATTTATAGAGATATGCTGGGACACCATTTACAGAGATATATGGGACACCATTTATAGAGATATGCTGGGACATCATTTATAGAGATATGCTGGGACACCATTTATAGAGATTTGCTGGGACACCATTTATAGAGATTTGCTGGGACACCATTTATAGAGATATGCTGGGACACCATTTATAGAGATATGCTGGGACACCATTTATAGAGATATGCTGGGACACCATTTACAGAGATATGCTGGGACACCATTTATAAATACTAAATAGCCTTAACATTGCACAATGCACACTGTGTACGTGTAAAAGTGTCCCTAAATTGGTTTAAGGCCTGAAAGTTTTTATTTGCAAACTTCATGCATGCAATTTAATATTTGCATCGTTCTCTTTACACCACCCAACAATGTTAAATTAGAAACCTTTGGCCACCCAAATATATTAGTTGGACCGGGGGGGGGCATCATGTTTTGTTGTTGTTGCAAATCTGACATCACAAGTACAAACAAAAAAGGTTGACAATTTTCTTCAAAATGCACCTTAACACTCACCCCAAACTCAAATTTACTAATACCTAGATATATTTTGCAACCTGTTGGTGTAAACCTTTGGTATTGACAAGAGCAACGAAATTTTTGTTTAAGATTGATGCAAAGTTAAGATGAAAAAAGAAGATTAGATACTGGGGAAAATCTTAAAGAATTTCGAAATGCAAAGGAGAAAAAACTTAAGCACCGATCAAAACAAGAATAAAATCAAAGGAGAAGAAAGTTCAGCATCGATCAAAACAAGAATAAAATTAAAGAATAAAAAACTTCAGCACCGATCAAAACAAGAATAAAATCAAAGGAGAAGAAACTTCAGCACCGATCAAAACAAGAATAAAATCAAAGGAGAAGAAAGTTCAGCATCGATCAAAACAAGAAGAAAATTAAAGAAGAAAAAACTTCAGCACCGATCAAAACAAGAATAAAATCAAAGAAGAAGAAACTTCAGCACCGATCAAAACAAGAATAAAATCAAAGAAGAAGAAACTTCAGCACCGATCAAAACAAGAATAAAATCAAAGAAGAAGAAACTTCAGCACCGATCAAAACAAGAATAAAATCAAAGAAGAAGAAACTTCAGCACCGATCAAAACAAGAATAAAATCAAAGAAGAAGAAACTAAGTACCAATCAAAACAAGAATAAAATCAAATAAGAAGAAACTTCAGCACCGATCAAAGCTTTAGGAAGAATGAAATTAAAGAAAAGAATGATAGTTTAAAGAAACTAGAACGAATAATCTCCGCAAAGAAGATGAAGAGAAGAACCTGGAACGGATCCATCTGTATCCTGCTGACTAATCTAACCTTTGGGTTTCAGTCTCAGACCAGATATTGAGAATACTGATCCTGAGCTCAGTGACTAGCATGATCCGGAGCTGGAATTTGAATTCTCATTTTCAATATAGATTACTGTTTCATCAGAGGGGGTAGTTTAAGATAAAACTTCATATCCGCTACGCAGAAAAAAAGGAAAACTTTAACGAGAAAAAATGTGTTTTTGAGACAAAAAATGTTTGAAGAAAGAAATGCAAACTCTTTTAAAGGAGAAATAAACTGTTATAGAGGAGAAATAAACTGTTATAGAGAAGAAATAAACTGATATAGAGGAAAAATAAACTATTTTAGAGGAGAAATAAACTCTTTTAGAGGAGAAATAAACTCTTTTAGAGGAGAAATAAACTCTTTTAGAGGAGAAATAAACTCTTTTAGAGGAGAAATAAACTTTAGGAAAGAGAAATAAACTGTTTAGGAGGAGAAATAAACTTTTAAGGATGACAAATAAACTGTTAAGGAGGAGAAAATAACTGTATTAGAGGAGAAATAAACTGTACATAGGATAAATAAACTGTTTCAGAGGTGAATTAAAACGTTTATGAGGAGAAATAAACTGTAGAATAATCTTTAGGAGAGGAGAAAAAAACTGTAGGATAAAAGAAAAAAATGAGAAGGGACGGAATAGAAAATAGGGAATCGAGCAGAAAAAAATAAAGAAAAATAAAAGTTAAGTAATGAGAAGAATAATTTCAAAGGAATTGAGTCTTTGGAACAAAATCAAATATTTAAACCTCAATATCTTTAAAACTCGATGTTGTAAACCTTTGATATTTCAAACTCAGATTATCTAATCCAACAAAATTCATAGTTTGAAATATCTAAGGTCTGCAACATTTGGTCCAAAGATATAGTGATTAAAAAATAAGAGTTTGTGGCAAAGACTCAATTCCTTTGCAGTATCCCAGCACTTAACACATTAGAGCGTAGAATTATTAACTTTCAAACTTTTGGAATAAAACAAATAAAAAAAGTTTGATATTAAATTTGTGAAAAGAATAATAAAGTTTTGTAAAAGTTAAATTTCATCAAAATATCGAGTTGAAAGTTCTACTTTTATCAAAAATTGAGTTTAAAATTCAAATCTTCTGAAGAACATTTTGTAATTGCAATTAGATGTTTTATAATTTATGTAATGTATCAAAAAATTATTAAAAGTTCTTTAAAAGGAATTTTCGAACCTAATATTAAATAAACGTTGTCTTTAATATATTAAAGTATCTACTTACAGTCGTTTTTTTCAGTTATACCTACCCAAAAGTAATTGCTTTTGGAGGGCATTAGAAAGCATTAGAGATCATAGATTTCGTATCTTAATATTTTGAAATTCTTTGAAAGTGTTTCGTTTCCTATAAACTTTAAACTTATCAAAAAAAAACTTAAAACTTTTATAACGGTTTGTTTTCTAAACTTCTTCTTTCCTGAGGTTTGAGAAAATAGTTAAAACCATGGAAAATGAGATTTTGTTTTCACTTTCATTTCAGAAATATTTAAAAAGAGTAATTTCTTCTTTAAAATATTATACCAACCACTTTCTTTCAATTAAATCATTCTTTTTATGGATTTTTTTTTTACTTTTAAAAGCTGATGTAAAAAGGATTCTGATACCAGATACTTTGTAAAAAGGTTTCTGATACCAGATACTTTGTAAAAAGGTTTCTGATACCAGATACTTTGTTAAAAGGTTTCTGATACCAGATACGGATGAAATGTTGCAAGATGAATAATCACTAAATCTCACTCGGCTTAAAAATGAGTTCACTTGAAAGTTGAACTTACAGCGCAGATGATGAAGACGGAAGAAAACATGGTTCCGCCGTTCAGGTCTCCAGATACTAACACAGTAATCGTTCAGATCTCTGCAGCGCGGTTTTATACTTCTTCCCCTCTCTATCTCCCCCCCCCCCCTCACCCAACCTTCGCTTATGAATGTCGGTAAAACTGACTATTCGGCATTTTACGGAAGAAAAGTCGCTTCTCTATCGTTTTTTGGATTCGTATAATTTACCCATGTAGAATACTGGACAGGGAAACAGCAATAGAATAAACTTTAACTAATTCTTTCTATAAAAATATAAACGTTTAGGCACAGGAACTGAGTTCTTACCACAAACTCAAATTTATTAATACCTATATCTTTGCAACCTGATGGTGTAAACTTTTGACATTTTAACTTTTGATTATTTGATCTAACAGAATTCATAGTTTAAGATATTCAAGGTCGGCTACATCGGGTTGCAAATATAAAGGGATTAAAAAATCAGAGTTTGTTGCAAGAACCCAATTCCTTTAACCCTCCCCCATGATAGAATGTGAATTAAAAACATTTTAAACCAGAAATATGTTGTCAAAGAAAAAAGGGGGGAAGGGGGCAGGGAAAGAATAGAAGGTTTAGAAAAGGGGGGAAAATCAATTTATTAGAAGTAAAATTGATTTTCCTTATATCTTTGCAACCCAATGTTGTAGATCAAAGATATTTCAAACTATGAATTTTGTTAGGTTAAGTAAACCTTTAAATTATCAAAGGTTTACAGCATCAGATTGCATGGGTATAGGGATTAGAAAATTTGAGTTTGTGGCAAAGACTCAATTCTTTTTTGAGTATGTGAGGTGGGTATTTTCAGTGGAAGGAAGGAAGGGCGGTATGTGTATGTTTATAGTAAAGAGTAAAGTTCTAAATGTAAATACTGTTATAAGGAAGGAAACGTTAGCATCCCGTTAACAATAGAATTTAACATTAATTTATTGCAAAACAAATCATTTAAACAATATCAAATTCAAACATTTACTGAAAATTTCAACTTTAAAAACTTTTATTTAATATTTGAAAACGATTGGCATTTTTAAGGATTTTAATGTTTTTCTATGTGTTTGTTAAAGATGTATTTTGTATACCTTTTATATTTTTAACGAGATGTTTGCAAGAGGGTTGGCGTGAATGCATATATTTAAAATTTTCAGAATTACAAAAAATTTGAAGTTAACCAGAGACAACTATGGCCAGGAGACTTACCTACAGACATTAAAAATGTTTCAATTACATTAATAAAGCTGATATTTAAACAAAATTAAAAACACATTTTTGCTCTAGATATATTTGAACAGCTTTAAACAGTTAAACTATATCTACAACGTGAAACCGGATTTAAAAAGGTATGTAAGAAGTTAATCAAGATTAAAAAGTATTATCGATCCGGAAACAATTTTTTGTAAACAACAACATTCTTGATAAAACATTCCCCTAGCTTGGAAGATTCAATAAAAAAAAGTGGTAAGAAGGAATTTTGAATAAAATTTTAGACAATTTAAATTGAAAATTATTGTTCAAACGGGAGTTTATGCTTTTAGAATCATATATATTAATCTTCATATTTTTCTTTCTGGAAGTTTTTAAAAAATTTTATTTATCCTTTAAACGATTAGTGTATTTTCTTGTAATTGCTGAACCAAGTTGTGTATTTTTCAATCGTGAATTGTCGCTGTATGGTTTAAAGGAGTTGAGTTTTTGCCACAAACTCTGATTTTCTAATCTCTATATCTTAGTAACCCAATGTTGTAGACCTTAGATATTTCAAACTATTAATAATTATAGATAAATTAATCTAAGTTTGAAATATCAAAGGTTTGCACCATCAGGTTGCAAAGATATTGGGATCAGAAGATTTGAGTTTGTGGCAAAAACTCAATTCCTTTGCCGGATAAAGATTTGTGTAGAAAGTAATGTAGGTTTAAAAGTTAGAAGTTTTATGATCCCTGTAATCTGATTCAAACTTGTAGTTTCACTACAGGGTATTCTTTTAGTCATTAATGGCAACACTTTTAATTGCCATTAATACTCGAAGTAGGTTTAGGATTAGGGGGAGAAGGAGGTTTAGGATTAGGAGGAGAAGAAGGTTTAGGATTAGGAGGAAAAGGAGGTTTAGGATTAGGAGGAGAAGAAGGTTTAGGATTAGGAGGAAATGGAGGTTTAGGATTAGGAGGAAAAAGGAAAAGGAGATTTAGGATTAGAAAGAAAATAAGGTTTAGGATTAGACGGAAAAGGAGGTTTAGGATTAAGAGAAAAGGAGGTTTAGGAGTAGGGGATTAGAAAAAGAGTTAGGAGTAGGGGGAGAAGTAGAGTTATGATTAGGTGAAGAAGTAGGAGTAGGGGGAGAAGTAGAGTTATGATTAGGTGAAGAAGTAGGAGTAGGGGGAGAAGTAAAGTTATGATTAGGTGAAGAAGTAGGAGTAGGGGGAGATGTAAAGTTACGATTAGGTGAAGAAGTAGGAGTAGGGGGAGAAGTAAAGTTATGATTAGGTGAAGAAGTAGGAGTAGGGGGAGAAGTAAAGTTATGATTAGGTGAAGAAGTAGGAGTAGGGGGAGATGTAAAGTTACGATTAGGTGAAGAAGTAGGAGTAGGGGGAGAAGTAAAGTTATGATTAGGTGAAGAAGTAGGAGTAGGGGGAGAAGTAAAGTTATGATTAGGTGAAGAAGTAGAAGTAGGGATGAGAAGTAAAGTTATGATTAGGTGAAGGAGTAGGAGTAGGGGGAGATGTAGGTTAAGGAATGGCAAGAAAAAATGTGATAAGAGAAATATACATTTTAATCATTATACATTTATAATATCAAGAAATGTATGTATACAATACATCATTCATCATACAGTAGTTTTTTATCTACTATCCATTAACATAATATTTAGAAAAATTGTAGATATAATATTTAGTAAAATTTATGTAATTATAAGTTTTCTTTATATATATAAATATTTATATTTATAAATAGATAAAGATGATTAGTTCATTATGAATAGATGATACTAAGATTATCTAAAAAAAGGAATATGATACAGTGTAATCTCGTAATATAACAAGCAACTGAAACCTTATACCCTCCTTTATCTCAGGATACAGGGTTACCCACAAAAGATAAGACTTCAGAGACGACTGTACAGAATATATACTGTATGTTTCCTTATATTCATGACCGAGCTATTGTTTGTTAAATCAAAATTTAACATAAGAATCGTCATACCGTAAGAGTGTGGGGTCGTCTTTACAGTCTCATATGTTGTGGATAACCCTGCGTAATTCTAACAAAGCATTTAACTAGAGGTTTATCACAAATGATAAAAATATTTATGTCAGGAATAGAATAATTAAATTTTTGTGTTTTTATTTGACCTAATTAATGTACAGGTGTTAAAACAAATTCGAAATATAAGGAAGACGATTGTTCCGACTCAAATGCCGATGTTAATTCCCTGGATGTGTGTGTACACTGAATACACAGAATCCTTTTCCGCCATACAACACACCCCACATGTCAAATCTCCGCTCAACCTAGCTCCCGCTTCACCAGGCAGTCAGCGGAAAACACTCACGAGATTCACAACTCCGTCTCAACCCTGGCTCCTTTGTGATGATGATTCAGATACGGAACCAACAACAGAAGACACTGCTTACACCTAGCTCCGCGCTCCACAAAGTTCCAGAGATCCGGGCGGAACCAGACTTCCTTCCATTATCCTGTATACAGGATAAGTCCGCAATCTCTCCCTCCCACAGGAGAAGGTAACAATAGTTCGCTCCGCAGGAGAAGGTAACAATAGTTCGCTCCGCAGGAGAAGGTAACAATAGTTCGCTCCGCAATGTTCCAGAGATCCGGGCGGAACCAGACTTCCTTCCATTATCCTGTATACAGGATAAGTCCGCAATCTCTCTCCCTTAGACTAAGCCTAGTTGTGAGAAAGCCTGCCGTCAAGATTGATGATCTGCATCACCATCATGAAGTTCTACAAACACCTTCTAACTGATATTCGTCTATAGTTTCTTTATTAATTTCTAAACCAATCAATTTAAGCCCCACTTGGGAAAATATTTCATAACCTTTTGTTTTAATAAATAAAGATTAGAAATACCGTTAGATCTCTTTTATTTTATCGTATTGACTTTTTTAAAAGTCAACAACAGGATATAAAGAATATACGCACCCCCGTCCACTAATAGTTCTTTTGCCCCCTCCCCCGCCTTAAAAAAGCAACCTCGCGACCACCGGGATTATAGTACTCCAGGTTAGGTTAGGGTAAGACAGATAGATCGTCGAGGGAGGTTGCACTTTTATAAAGGAAAGTGGGGGGTGGCACAACACATTTAATAAGAATTATATTTCCTACTAGAGTGGTGGTGGGTTCAGGGGTTGATGAAACAATATGTTCTCAGAACAATATTATTTCTGTGACCTACTAGTCAATATCAAATATGGAATTAAAAATTTTATCCTAAAAATTACATTTAACGCAATTTAATGTCTTATTTAATGGCTAATCATATTATTTAAAAAGGAGTGGGTTTGCTCTGTCAAATAATCAAATATAAATTATATACAGTCATAAACAGAAAACTGTGGAATAGGAAGACGACATTATAGTATTTCTGAAGTGCATTTGATGTCGTTTAAAGCAAATAGCTTTACTTAAAAGTTATAAAATTACTTATTAAGTAAAATTTACATTGCCCAATTGCTGTGCCTCCTGTTCAATGTGCTATTTAAAGTAATAAATTGAGTTTAAAAGTCGACTTCCTATTCCAGAGTTATATAGCTATCACTGTTTATATATATGTATCTTCCTAAAACAAGTCTAGAACATATTCTATTGTTTATTAAGATTGGTTAATACTAGAAACTGTGTTTCATGTAGAACATTCTTCAGCAGCATCTATTAAATTATATGTAATGTATTTATCTTATATATCATAATGCAATAATCAGACCATATTTATGATATATTTATATATTAAATGGATCCATAAAATCGTTGCATAAACCGACCGGTAGTAAGATTTACCCAGTGTAAAGACGATCTAAACGTGATCAGAGTTGGGAACTTTTGAATGGTGGATATCAGGATTAATGCTTGATCCTCTCTTTTTCTTAATCTCCAGATTAAATAAGGCTGGTTCTCCTCTTGTTATTAATCTCCAGATTAATTAACCGATCGGGATTAAGGATGTTCCATTAAAAAGTTTTACA